CCCTAAGTTGTAGCTTGTGTTCAGAGTTTTTTCAGGGGAAGAGACGTGTCTTCGGCTCTGAACTTTACCAACATAGTTCTTATTCCCAAGAGTGTGGGGGCGGCAGCCTTTAGTAGATTTCGTCCCATTAGTCTATGCAACTTTGCCTATAAGATTGTGTGGAAGATTTTGGCAAATAGATTGAGACCGTTATTAAATAAGCTTATCAGCCCTTTCCAGTCAACCTTTGTTCCAGGAAGGAGAATTTCAGGGAACGTGATAATTGCTCAAGAAATTGTTCATTTGCTTAATAGAAAGAAAAGTAAAGGTGGGTTGGCCGGGATAAAGATAGATATGCATAAAGCCTCTGATTCCCTTGAATGGGATTTTAAATCCAAGGTGCTTTTTGCGTTTGGCTTTAGTGATCGCTTTGTGAGCCTGATCAATCAATGTGGGTCTACTACCACAATGTCTATCTTGTCAAATTGTAGTTCGTATGAGAAGTTTAAGTATCGTTTAGTTTACAAATTTGAGTTTTTAATTTGAGTTGAGATGTGATTTTATGTTAAAATTTTTCACTGTAGTAAAAAAAGTTTGATGTGATTTTTTATGAAAGATTTTAACTGTAACAAAACTTGAACTGAAAACTCGAATTGATAAAATGAACGATACCTTAGATTAGAGAGGAGGATTCATTCCCATTTCTCCTTATCTTTTCATTTTGGCTATGGAAGTCCTTTCACAATTAATTTTGAAGGTAGAGAGAGAAGGATCTATTCATGGTGTGAAAATTGCTAGAGGTGCCTCCCCGATCAGCCATCTCATGTGATGCAGATGTTCTTTTCCTATTTTTTCGTGCAAAACCACATGAAGTTGATGCATTGCAAGACATTCTTGATATATTTGAGAGCTCGTCGGGTTGGGCTATAAATAAGGAAAAATCTGGTTTTGTCTTCTCAAAAAACATTGATTCTTCTCTTAAGCGAAGGTGCAAAGAGGTTTTGGGGTGTGGGAGCCTTTCTCATGGGGGTGACGTATCTTGAATCTCGTTCGATTCGTAGATTCAAAATTTTAATTCAAGTTGAGATATGATATTTTCTGAAAACTTTTAATTGTAGTAAAAAAAAATTTAAATGTGACATTTTTTTAGAATTTTTAACTGTAAAAATTTAGAACTGAAATATTAAATCGGTGAAATGAACGAGGCCTTGATAATCCCCTATTTTTAACTTGAAGGAAATCAAAAGACTTTTCAGTTTTTAAAGAGGCGGGTCATGTCTAGACTGGTGGCATGGCAGAGTCATCTTCTGTCTACAACATGAAAAGTGGTGCTAATTCAGGGCCCGTTTAGTTCGCTGATTCGAGTTTTTAATTCAAGTTGAGATGTGACTTTATGTGAGCTTTTTACTGTAGTAAAAAAGTTAAATGTGACTGTTTCTGAGAGCTTTTTACTGTAACAAAACTCAAATTTTAAATTCAAATCGATAAAATGAATGAGACATCAATCTATAATACAAGCTATTCCTATTTATTCCGTGATGACTTTTAAGCTTCCTAACTCAGTTTGTGACGATCTCGATGGCATGGTTAGATGGTTATGGTGAATGAGCATATGAGTAAACACACATAATTGGCTATGGGGCGTGCTACTTGTTTGTTTGTCCTTTCGCTAAGGCAATCTGTTTTGGTGGATGGTGGGCCATGGGTTGGGGTAATTAAGACTTCATTCAGTTTGTTGATTTGAATTTTTAATTTACGTTGAGATATGACTTTATATGAGAGTTTTTAATTGTAACAAAAAAAATTAAATGTAATTTTTTACAAGACTTTTTAACTATAATACAATTAGAATTAAAAACTTAAATCGGTAAAATGAACGATACCTAAAAAGCTCTTACTATTCATGCTGCTATGGAACTCGCTTCTCGAAAAGGGTGGAACAACCATTCGGTTCGCTAATTCGAGTTGAGATGTGATGTTGTGTGAGAGCTTTTTACTGTAATAAAAAAATTAAATATGACTGTTTTTAAGAGCTTTTTACTATAACAAAATTCAAATCTGCGAAAAGAACGGGCCATAATCTCTGAAGGCGATTGTTTGCCTCATTCAGTTCGTTGATTTGAATTTTTAATTTACGTTGAGATATGATTTTATATGAGAGTTTTTAACTGTAACAAAAAAAATTAAATGTAATTTTTTACAAGACTTTTTAACTATAATACAATTAGAATTAAAAACTTAAATCGGTAAAATGAACGATACCTAAAAAGCTCTTACTATTCATGCTGCTATGGAACTCGCTTCTCGAAAAGGGTGGAACAACCATTCGGTTCGCTAATTCGAGTTGAGATGTGATGTTGTGTGAGAGCTTTTTACTGTAATAAAAAAATTAAATATGACTGTTTTTAAGAGCTTTTTACTATAACAAAATTCAAATCTGCGAAAAGAACGGGGCCATAATCTCTGAAGGCGATTGTTTGCCTGTTACCGAAGCTTTAAATAGGCAATCTCTTCCTCTTTGGGAATTTGGTCCTGTTATTGAAGAGGTTATTGCCATCAATTCTTCTCGGGTTTGTTGTAATTTCTCGTGGGTGCCTCGCGAGTTGAATGGGTTCGCGAGTAGAAATTCCTCATAGTGTTTTTTTCATTTTTGGCCCTTAATCAGCTTCTATTGCTCTTGTATCTTTGTTTGGTTAATGAGAGTCCAATTATCAAAAAATAATAATAATAATAATAATTTTATTAGAATACTACATTTGTGATAACTTATAAAAATTCTATAAACGGGTGTAGAAAAAAAATGTAATATTCTGTTTTAAACTATCATACTATCAGATTACGTCGATTTAATTTTCTTTTATTAAATTTAACTATTACCCTACTTGCTTAAGCTCCTATAAATTAATCAATGAACTTTTGGAAATTAGTAGTAGTTGCTTTATAACAGAACAATTGAAGATTTGTGCCTTGAAAATAAAACTTCTTGCTTAAGTAATGTTGTCAGACGTTTGGTTCATGGATTAGAACCATGTGATTAAGACTATTTTTGATTTACGTGTATTTTTTGTGAGAGAAAATACTATAACGAACCACGAATCATGATTCGAATTAGGAGACGAATCCTCCAACCAAACAACCTCTAAATGTGTTTATGCATTATCGTTTGAAGTAGTTTATAGGTCACAAACATAATATGCGACAAGAATAGCATCTTATCACGAACATATTTAAGATGGGAATTCTCTACCTTATCTTTTGAAATATTTAAGAAGGGAATTCTCTACTTTATCTTTTGATTATTTTTAAAGTTGCTGTGAAAGAATAATCCCGATATTTTTTTCTAATTTATGGATTAAATTACCGTATTAACATATGACGTGTACTTTATTTTCATCCAATAAAAAATTTAATTGTATGTACTTTAATTTCATCCAATATGTACTTTATTTTCGTTCAATAAAAAAGTTCTAGTACATGTATTTACAATTGTACTATTTTAGTTCTCGTATATAACATCAAAGTGAATATTCATATTCTTTTATGCAACAAACATTCTAAGAACATATATAATTTTAGTTTTATTTTCTCAAATATATTAAAAATTAAATTGTTTTTATTTAAAGCCATAAGGTTATACATCTATGTAAAGATATATATTAGTTATTGAAATTTTTTTGGATAAAATGCAACACAATATATCTATTAAAGAATTAGAAAAATTGTAATTTCTAAGTAAATAGTTATTTTTATTTGTTATATAAAGAGAAATTGTGCACTCTAAAATTATTGTCTATTATTAAGAACGACTTAGTAAATCTAGACAACAACATCAAATAAGTTTTGCAAAAACAACCTCAAATCTAGTTCTCAAATTCTATTTCTAAGCAGCAATTTTTAGATTTCACATTTCATAGAACAAAAGTAAATTATAACAAACTCCTTTGGGGTCCAAGATTTTTTAAGATGTAAATTGCACCACTCCTATTTTGACATAAAAGTAGACAAATTATAAGGAATAAACTACTATTTAAACGAGATCATATCAATTTATAACATCTATTTTAAGTTTTGTTCAGTTCGTTGATTTAAATTTTTAATTTGAACACATATATAATTTTATGTGAAAATTTTTTACTATAACAAAAAAATTAAATATAATTTTTTATGAGAAATTTTAACTATAATAAAATTAAAAATTTAAATTTAAATCAATAAAATGAAAAATTATCTAATTATTCATTATTTTTTATTATTAATTATCTAGTTGTCTAGATTGTACTCCCTTCATATATTAATTATATTTTTTTCTAGATTGTACTCCCTTCATAAAAATATAAATATAGAAAATCGCGTAGTTAAATACTAAATAATAGTACTGAGAACAAAATAAAAAAAAATCATTTTTCTATTCCATACAATATTGAATAATTCATATTTATTTTATTGGTCCTCAATGAGATAGTACTTTTTTAATTCTCTCAAAATGGAATATATTCAAAACATATATGTCATGGTTCCTTATTTCGACAGGATACAACTATCTAATTTACTATTTTTAGATACTTTTTCAGACCTATTGCCGATAAAATTTGTATCCATTTTTCATGATATTATGCATGGATTAGATGGTGACTTTATTTTTTCTAAACTATTAAAAAGTCCATTCAACGAGCTTCACAATTTGGAACCAGATCGGACCGCACACTCTCACTTTTCATATATAATACACACATACATACATATATACATATTTTTCCAATCATGCTAAAAAATCATTTTCAAACTTCTAAGAAAAAAAAACTATAAAAAGTTAATACAGAAATACAGAGAATTCCATATATTACCCATGGGTATTGGCTATTATTACATTACTTATACACACACGGAAGCGAAATTAGTCCAAAATCACAGCACAAAATTTCAACAAAGAAAAAAAAAGGAAAAAGAAAAAAAAAAAAAAAAAAAGAGAAAGGAAAAAGACACCGACAGGACTAACCAACTTCGAAAATTGAAAGCCTCTAAGACGCGCCCCCACACACGAACGCACCACGCAGTTACTCTCTCTCTCTCTCTCTCTCTCTCATCTGTAAAGAAAAGAATTCAATTCCTTTTCAGAGAGAGAAAGAAAGATCAACAGAGAGTTTACCATCACCTCCACTTGGCGATCTCATACACGGAGTTACAGCCTTACGGGCGTTTCGAGTACAGACGCCCGATTCTCCTCTCGCCACGCCATTTCCCAAACTCCTCCGGTTTTTTTTTTTTTTTTTTTTTGAATTTTCTCGAGAAACAAACACTAACGCTCAATCCAATCGAATCGAATCGATTCAATTAATTGACATCTCGGTGGACGATTTTTTGTTTGAACTTTGTTGTTGTATGTGTGTGTGGCGTTGGAGGTGCTTTCATGATTTGATTTAGTTGGAGGTTTTCGTTTGATTGATACTTAAGATCTTCGCGAGCAAGCAAATTAGTGAAATCGCTTGCTTTAGAGGTTTTGGAAGTTGTTGTTTGGCGGCCAAGAAAGTTTTCAGCGTTCTGTAGCTTTCGGAGGTGTCTGTTTTTACTTTTCTTTGTTCTTTTTGCGGAGAGGTGTATTTATAGATTGAGAATCTTTGGATAATCCCGAGGTTTTCTATTGTTCGAGAGGGAAATTTTCAGGTTTTGTGTGTTGAGAATCAGTAAATATGGTTAGCGGGACTTTGTTCCACTGTAGAAAGAATTCATGGCCGCCCGAGGAGTATCTTAGCAAGACAGCCTTGCACTCGGTAATCTCTCTATCTCTCTTGTTTTTTCGTTTATTTCGGTTGTTTGTGTTTGGTTGCTGAGAAAATTTTGATAAATGATAAAATAAGGAACTTTGGGAAAGATTCGATGTCGTTTTGGACTTTGCTTAAACGGAATCAACAAATTGATTAGTCTTGCGCAATTTCCATGGTTGTAGTGAATCATACAGTAAGATTGGATAGGATCATAGGAAGTTTGTTTTTAAGGAAGTCAAAATCTGGTCAATTTACATTTGTTCTTGGATTTCTATGAGACTTTAATTTAAATTCACTTTATCAAAAATCCGTTACGGATAGAATTATGATAATCTATCAAATATTATATCGTTTTACTGAAGCCTTTGGCGTTCTAGATATTGCTTCCCCAGTTGGAGCATAGTCTATTAAAAATCATGAAATTATATGTTTTCTAAAATTGGCTGCGTTAAAGTGATTTCTTGGCATTAAAAATAATTCTGGAAAGCTTAATCTTATGTTGGTTATGATATTTGCATTCCATCTGCTTGGTATCATTTCACCATGTCACTGTGTCGTGTAAAGAATATCGCATTTGGCTCTAGTATTTTTTTTTCTTTTTTTGGTCTTTATTCTTTGTCGATGAAAGCTAATTCCGTTTTCTTTCATTTTGTTTTTGACCTTTATGTTTGCATTTACCTCTGCCAATTATTGGCATACAAGTTTGCTTGGTTGTTGATTAGTGTATCACTTATTTTAAAACCAAAGTTGAAACTTAACCTGTCTAGTACGTTATTGAATTAGGAAATGGAATAGTTTCTTTGATTTATAATCAAATTTTTGTCAAAGCCATAGTCAAAAATTTTTGTCCCCAATTGGTTGTCGTATTTGATTTATGATCGAATCTCTACTGCATTCTTTGTCCCGCTTCTTCTTTCTTTATTTTTTGAGGTAAGTTGATCCGCTTAAGGAACTTTCAATGAAAAGGTGTAGGTGTGTGTGTGTCTATATATATATACTGTTTTATTACTTTATGCAGTTTGATTTTGATAGTGCTGCTCCACCAAAACAAGCTTGGCGGAGGAGGTTAAACAGCCATGCTAATATTCTTAAAGAATTTAGTATAACATTTAAAGAAGCAATAAAGATGGTAAGTAAGTCTTTTTTCAACATGCGCTGTGTGTTTCTGAGGATAACTCAAGTCCTGTAGATTTTCATATTGGTAGCTTTCTTTTCCCCTTTTCACTTAGTGACTTTCTTCCTGATTATCTTCTAACGGGTCTGGTGTAGGTTCGGTTAGGTATACGCTTATGGTCATATGTTAGAGAAGAAGCCTCTCATGGAAGGGTATTTTTAAACCTACTTTTATTTGTTTTCCTTTGCCAAGGGTATTTTACATGACATTGTGACTGCAACCCTTGGTTGAAATTATTTTTTACGCTTAGGAGTATGTAAATTAGTCGCAGGATTCGTATCTTTGCAGAAAGCACCTATTGATCCTTTCACACGTGAAAGTTGCAAGCCATCTGCATCTCAAGGAGTTCCACTTGGTGGCATGGGGTATGTGGTATACCGAGTTTGTGGCTTTAAGTTTTTAGTGTTGAATATCCTTAAACAGTCTGATGCTTCTTCCAGGCAATGGCAAATTGTTCCTGGTTCACGTGAAGGCTCTCCTGTCATGGCCAATCAATTTTCTGTAAAGTCCCCCCTTCTTCTTTAATTGATTTGTATGCAAGTCTTAATTTTGGTTTTTTGACAACCATGACTTGGCATTATCTAAAATGTGTAAATATCATGGTTATCTATATGTTTCTCAACACAAGTTTTGAAATCTTACATGTAGTTCACAGGTTTTCTAGATGGTTTTTAATCTTCAGTAAAACTGCTTTTTATATAAATGCAAATGGGCACTTTTGGAGCCGAAAGAATGCATGCATATTAATCTCAATTCTTATTTAAGTATAAAACTTGTAGGGATTCTATTTATTCTTGCTTAAGTTGAACTTCTCCATGGGTTTTTCCTTCTTTTTTTTTCAAATGGATATAACATTTCTTTTCTGACCTTATGTATTGCTTATAAAAGTGGTTGAAAGAATGTGGTAACATACGGTGTGCGTTTGTAATGTATATGCATTTATATATATGTCTTAAGATGTATGCTTAGCACTGTGGTTGCACCTGTGGCATCTGAAATGGATGGAATGGCAGGTTTCTGATCAGAAGAGTACCTTGCTTCTACTTAGAAGAAGTGGATACATATAATTTACCAGTTATCTATTTATAAGAAGCATGCATGTTGTCCTATGTCTTGAACCATTCACTTCTCAAATTTTTAGTTTATTTTGTGGAACTTCAGATTTTCATACAAAGAGATGGAGGACATAAGAATTACGCATCCGTTTTGGCTCCTGGTCAACATGAAGGATTAGGGTAAGAAATTAAATATTTTGCACATCAATAATTCTGGGAATTAGAAAGGTAAAGGAGATTCCTACCATGCGTCGTTCAAATTACGGTTTTAGTATTGTGAAATAATAATAATTTATGGATGCTTCTTAATATTGGCCACAACTTAAAAAGTAAAAACAAAGCAAGGTTCCACATGGCATGATCATTTTTTATTCTTTTGGCATCAAAGGTGTCTGCGAAGTCTCCCATGTTTGGGTGTGGATTTCATAATGAAGGGGTGAGCTTTGGGTGATCTTGATTGGGTGGGCATTTGTGGTATGTTTTATGTTCTGTGGTTGTCATGGGGAGAGGTCAGGATTCTTTAGGGGAGAATTTCTGGATGCACCAATGTGATATGTAACTTTAGGTGGTCATAAGGCAGATTCTTGAATTATTTTTTACCCCGGGTAGACTTTTTGGCTTGAGTAGGGGCAACAATGCCCAAGAAGATGCGTGTGAGGAAGTTGGTTTCTTACTACGTACTTAGACTGATTTGATTGGGATTATTGGGCAAAGGTTGGAAAAAAAAAAAAAGACGCTTTAAGTTTGACACATTTGTGAACATGATGTAACACAAGGCAAGATGTGTACCCAAGTGTTTTGAACCCTTCCCCTATAAAATTGATTTTATCATAAACAATAATTGCATTATTTTTAACCATGTTTTACCGGAGTATTTGGTTTTCTTATTACATAGCGAGAAGCAATTCATTTGTTTCAGGAGGTTTTTTTTTTATTTTTTATTTTTTTTTATCTAGCCATGAAAAAAATCTCGGTGCTGGCTAGAATATTTGTTTCAGGATTAAATCCATATCACGTATGACCTTGATTCTGGCTCACAAGATTGTTGAGAAGGAAGTCTATAAATTTAGTATTATTCAGCAAAGCAAGAAAAGAATAATATTGCATTTTGGATTTCTTATTTAATATGTAGTTATTCCAGATGGTAAAAGGGTGAATGAGGGAAATAGCAGAAATGGAGGGGGTAGTTAATATTTATAGCAGATATTAATTTTAAGTTAGTAAATGTCACAAAACTCTCTATTCTCCCACTCTCTCTCTCCTCCCCTCTCTCTGATCTCTCTTGGGTACCCTCCCTCCCTCTCTCACGGCCTTTCTCTCCTCGCTCTCTCACGGCCTTTCTCTCCTCGCTCTCTCACGGCCTTTCTCTCATTCATTCATGGAGATCAGTTTTGCTCTCTCAAATCTCATCCTCTATAGCCCAGCCACGGCAAGCTTCGATGCTCCTTGCAGATCTTTGCGAAGTCCTGCGACGGAGGCACCGTTTGCAGAAGTCATTCCCCAGTCACGATTGCAACGGAGGCACCGTTTGCAGAAGTCATTCCCCAGTCACGATCAGAGAAAAGCGCAAGGAAGGAGAGAGAGTAACACGTGGAAGGAGAGAGAGATTTCATGTTTTTGAATTTGCCTCCTCTTTCTCTCTCTTGCCCCTGTGATCGGCGATCTGTGCGATCTCCAACCTGCAGACGCCAACGGTGTTGTGGTAAATGATTCATTTACGTTATAAATGCTTCATTTACCAATATACAAAATTCTTATTCAAGTTGGTAAATAGAGGATTTATGTGGTAAATGATGGGTTTATCAGTCAAACAAAGGTTTTGATGTTATAAGCAACAAGTTACTTTCTTGTAAATTGAAAATTTACATGGTAAATTGTCGGTTTACATTGTTAAATCATTATTTATGAAAATACAAAAATTGAATTTGTATGGTAAATGAAGAATTTACTAGGTAAATGCAACATTTACAACATTCACTCTCTCTCCTCTCTCTCCTCTCTCTCATTCTTTCTTATCACCACTGACAAACTCTCATCCTCTCTCTCTCATCATCACTGAAACTCCTTAGATTTGGTACACCATATATTAAAATTTTAAAATATGCTATAAATTTTTATTCATCTGCTATTTACTAAGAACTAGAACTATTATGCTATTTACTACTGGAAGTTTGGGAAATCTGCTATTTACTACAGCAAATTTCATGGTAAAATTGTTGCTTTAGTATGCTTTTGTTGTTCTTACAGGAAAGTAAGTGATCAGGGCATATCTTCTTGGGGTTGGAATCTTAGCGGACAGCATTCCACATATCATGCTCTATTTCCAAGGGCGTGGACCATATATGATGGTATGGACATGCTTTATTCTGACTGTTTGGAAAAGTATTCCCTTTCCCTTTAAGTCCTTTTTAAAATTATATATGTTGGTTTATACTTTAGGTGAACCGGACCCAGAACTGAAAATATCTTGTCGGCAAATATCTCCATTCATACCACATAATTACAAAGAAAGCAGTCTTCCTACTGCTGTTTTTGTTTATACGGTATGTTTAATCATCATATACTCTTAAATGCAGCTCAAACGATATCCTTTTTCTTGTAAAAGAAATTGGACATGGCAAACAAACAATATATTTCTACGTGCGAATCTTCTGTAACGTGTAAATGCAAACGTAGCTGCCTAAGTAGAGAAGTAGATCTTCTCTTGATTGCCCGCACTACTTGAGTCTGGTTTTACATGGTATTGAGTCCTTATTTTGGCACGCTGAAAAGTGAAAATAAGTTTCCTGCTTTTTAGTGACGGTTATGAATCTAAGTTGGAATATTTCGCATCTCCTTTTTCCATCCTCTGAAATGAATTTGATTTTTATTCTTTTTTTATTATTTTATCAATATGGTTTTGTGTTTGATTATTTTATTGAATCCTGTTTGTTGATATTAGGACATGAACTACAGTATGAGATTTTTGAATGTTCCTTATGTGACTTTATGTTTGTTGTAGTTGGTTAACACAGGGAAGGAAAGGGCAAAAGTCAGTCTTCTCTTTACATGGGCGGTAAGATTATCTCCCTTGATATAGCAGAGTTACGCCTCACTACTCCTAACAAATAAAATGTCTGGATCATTAAATTTCAAATTATCATTATTTGTTTTGTCCAGAACACAATTGGGGGAATCTCACACTTGTCTGGAGATCATGTGAATGAACCATTTATGTAAGTTAATTCTGCTCTTCTACACTTTCTGCGGTTCTTTAGAAAGTAGTTATAGTGTTAAGCACTTTGGCTAACTTCATCTTTTCATTTGATAGTGGCGAGGATGGAGTCTCTGGAGTTCTTTTACATCACAAGCAAGTTTTCAAACCTTACTAGCTATATTTGACGGTTGGTTTGCAGATTTCTCTTGGTCAGTCCAATGAAATAATTGGTGAAGACGTCTCATGATGTTCTTTTCAATTTGGAGGCATAACCGACCCCAAATCAAAGGGAAAGAATAAAAACATGATTGTCGTGTTTGGAGTTGTTCTTGTTTTTGTTTTTCATGTTTTTCGAGAAAGAAAAAATGAAAACGATTCCAAAACGGCGTTTGGCACAGTTAAAGACAAAAATGGAAATGAAAACGATTTTTTAGTTTAGTGTAAAATGAGAGAGAAATGAAAAACGACTTTTAGTCATTTTTCATTTTTTGTTTTCGTTTTCTCCTCTCTTGAGCAGAGAGAAAGAAAGAGAGACATTAATAGGTTTTTTTATACTGAAAACAATCTCTTGATAAAACTACCAAACGCATTTTCAAAAATGATTTTTGTCTAAAGATTGAAAACGTTTTCATTTCTATTTTCATACAAAAGATAAAATCATTTTGGAACGAGTTCTAAACGCACCCGATATTTCTATACTAGCGGTTATTAGAAACTTTACAAGGTTGTTATTTAGACATATTAAAGAAATGGCATTATGAACAATGTCCATAACAAAACAAAGAGAGCAGCAAACTTGAATACTTAAAGAGTTAACGAAAAGGGATCACCAAGCTCTAAGAAATTAGGCATTGGGATGCTAACATGCATAGTGTTTATAGCTTATTATGTTTTTATGCTAACCAAAATCCACAATTTACTCATTTCACGTGTTTGGATAGTTTATTATTTGTCCAAAATAAATAATAAAGGAGGATAATTTGTATCTTGAAAGAATTTCTTTACAGCCAGCTGTTATTTGTTATCTTGGGTGCTTGATTTTAGGTATCTACCAACATAAAGCTTATTAGAGGTTTCTATTAATGTTTCCAATCCAACACATCCATATGACCATCATAAAACCTCTCATTGAGAAACCTTGTTTTGATGGAAATGAAATGAAAAATGACTTGAGATATTGTTCATTTTTAATTTGGCAAAGAGGCATTTTTTGTTTTGCCCCCTATATTGCCTTTTGCTTCTATTGCAGTGTTGTAGTTGACAAGTGGATAAAAAATAACCCCCATTCACTTCTTATACAGTACAATATTTGTATGTTTCCAATTTGTATGAAAAGATTTATTTTTATTAAAAACTTGATGCAAAAAGTAGAACTTATTAGGCCGTTTCTACAGAACTCTAGCTTTTCTCTTTTTTTTTTTTTTAGAATTTGACGTTCACTTTTTATTTTTATAAAAAAATTTACATTGGTTGATGCAGCTGATGATATCAACGTGTGCATTTATTTCAAGATTTCTTCATGATTAGGAAAACTTATTAGTTGCCACTGCTATGTATTATATTTTTACCTATGAAAGAAAATAAAGATAATTCACACTTCATAGAAAAATCTCCAGTGAGTTGGAATTTGTGAGGCAGTTCATGTTCCTTGCTGCGTTAGTCTGCTGCTTGTTTATTCTTCCCCATTCTACATGGTTGGATTCGAGTGTTATTTGTTGCTAACTAATGTGCCCCAGTGAAGGAATATCCTATTAGTTAATGATCAACCAAAGTTGCGACCTTTTTTCTGTAATTTTGATCCCTTTCTTTTATTGGGTCGCAGGATTTTTTTCCCTTTTTTTTCTTACAATTGAAATGATGATAGGAAGTACCTATTCCCCTTTTCGTAGCATTATTATAAACAACACTGATGTGTTATTCAGTTTTTTTTTTTTTTTTTTTTTTTTTTTTTTTTTTTTTTTTTCAGAAGATTAATTTTTTTTTTTCTGTATTTCTCATAATTTATTATTCGTAGTACTTTCTGTAATTCATGTTGCTATAAGCTTTTTTTGCAAGATCTTTAGATTTTATTACTTTCAGTACTTGAAGTTGGTATTTACGGACAGTATTTTAGTTTTCTGAGGACCATGTCTATGGTGCAGGAGTGCGAAAGGAAACCCTCCTGTTACTTTTGCAATAGGTGCATGTGAAACACAAAATGTGAATGTAACAGTTTTGCCATGTTTTGGCTTATCTGAAGGAAGTATCCCTACTGCAAAGGAAATGTGGAACACAATGGTTAAGGTAGTCATATTCTCATATATGATACTTTCAGTGGGGTAAACTTGTATATCAAATTTTGTGTAGGCACTTATGTGAGATTTGTTTATCTTATACAAATTTGTGATGGTAGCTTCCTTACACTTTCTAATGGGTTTCTGGTCATTTACATTGACATTTTTTAATGTGATGGTAGTTAGTTTAATTCCAAGATATTTCATATCTTCCTTTCAGACTTGTTGATATGTAACTATGCTGAGTTGAATTTTGTTTTCTTGTGCATTGCTATCTGAAGGACGGACAATTTGCTCAGGAGAACTTCAATTCTGGACCAGGCGTGCCTTCATCGCCTGGAGAGACACTCTGTGCGGCAGTTTCGGCTTCTGCATGGGTTGAGCCTCATGGGAAGTGTACTATCACATTTGGTCTAGCATGGTCATCTCCCAAAGTAAAATTTTCGAAAGGAAGTTCATATCATAGGTAAATACATAGTGTATCTTTCGATTTGTTGTTTCCTTGTTTATTTGAGGTTGGCAAGTGTCAAAAAGTATGCTCAACGAATTATAGAAAATGGGCGAAAAGGATGGACATTGGTTGTTAGCAGTGTCAGTCATCAATAAGGTTATATTTCTGCCCTTTTCAGATACCATAATGACCCTACAACAACAACAACAACAACAAGCCTTAATCCCAACTTAGTTGGAGTCGGCTATATGGATTTTACTTTTCCACGCAGTTCTGTTCGAAATTAGACTTTCCTGAAGACCTAGATCTAGAATGTTATTCCTAACTACTTCGGTCCACGTAATTCTTAGTCTATCCCTCCTTCTCCTAGTATTAGGTATAAGAATGTCCTCCCAAGCACGAATTGGTGCTTCTAGCGGTCTACGTTGGATATGCCCGTACTACCTCAAGCGGCTTTCGCGCACCTTATCTTCTATTGGTACTACACATACTTTACTACAAATAACTTCATTCCTTATGCGATCCATTCTCGTATGGCCACTCATCCATTTTAACATACGCATTTCTACCACACTCATCTTACATATATGTTGTCTCTTAATAGCCCAACATTCACTGCCATATAACATAGCTAGGAGGATTGCAGTCTTATAGAACTTTCTTTTTAACTTGATAGGCATCTTGCCATCACATAAAACTCCCGTAGTATTCTTCCACTTAACCCACCCTGCCTTAATCCTATGTTGAATATCCTCTTCTATATCTCCTTCGTACTGCACTATAGACCCAAGGTACCTAAACTTCCTAGAAGTCCCAATCTCCACACCATCTAAAGAAATTTCATCACTCTAGTTACTTGAGTTACTAAACGTACAATGCATGTATTCAGTTTTCGTCCTACTTAACTTAAATCCCTTCATCTCGAGAGTCTGTCTCCACAGTTCTAACTTACGATTAACTCTTTCCTTATGTTCATCAACTAAAACTATATCGTCCGCAAAAAGCATACACCAAGGAACTCTATCTTGGATTTCTCTTGTCAGCTCATCCATCACAATGGTGAAAAGATAAGGACTAAGAGCATATCCTTGATGAAGGCCGATCCAAATGAGGAACTCTGTCGTGTAGCCTCCAGCAGTTCTCACACGCGTGACCACCCCATCGTATGTGTCCTTAATTACCTTGATATACTTCACATGCACTCCTCTCTTTTCTACCACCCACCATAAAACTTTCCTCGGTACCCCATCATGTCTTTTCTAAATCTATAAAGACCATTTGTAGGTCTGTCTTGACTTCTCTGTACCTTTCTATCAACATCCTAAGAAGAAAAATGGCCCTAAAGCGCCCTAAAATATTTTACGAGACGAATGATGCCTATAATTTTTAGTTGATTTGTTTAGTGTGCTAATGTATTGCATGTTTCGGTAATTGTTTTGAGTTTGTTATGTTGTTGCAGGAGGTACACAAAGTTTTACGGTACTTCTGAATTAGCGGCTAAAGACTTGGTTCATGATGCCCTAACAAGTATGTATCTTTGATTAATACACCTTAATTTCTGTTGAAGCCTAGAGGTTTTATAAATGTCTATACTCATAACTTAAAAACCAAAATTACACTTTTTCTTTTTTAAGTTTCATGTGTTCAAGTCACCTTAAACTATGTTTTGAACCCAATTACATCTCGAAAAACAGATTACAAGCGGTGGGAAGAAGAGATTGAAGAGTGGCAGAGTCCCATTCTTAATGACGAGAGGCTACCAGAATGGTATTTTTCATTCAGCTATTTAAACCTTTCTATCAACAATTATTAATGTCATTGCTAAATAAGCCTTAAAGCTTAAGTGTTGCTCTTGTTCATTTGACATTTTGTGACATTGATATTTAAGGACTTTGAGACTGTTATCTGGTACTTTAAAGCTTGCTCTGATGAGGATGATGCATTCTTACAAATATTCAATAGCGTGTAGGGCAAAGAGGACAGATATTTCTGCCATTTTATTGATTTTGGTTAAAGATCATCTATTTCATTGTTGCTTATGGGGCATCTGTAGACTTTGTTGAATATTTCCTTGTGGCATGTCTATTCGGTAAATATCTTTAACTGTGTCTATAGAAGATATCTTTCTGTTATGCCCTCTCAAGCTTAACATGGATGATGTATTAATTCCGTCTATTATTGCATTGTCAAATGTTTCATCCACTTTTGGACTTTAGAATTAGCCACCCTTATCTTTTCCTTAACATTATTGGAAGCGTTTGGTTCTGCCACCAAAGTTAACACCCATATTATCTAGATAAGTTCAAAATACCACTTCAGTTTTTTTTCAAGTTGCTTATACCTTTATACTGTAGTGAGTTAATTCGGAGACTTTTTTGTGATCTAGTACATCTAGTTTTTCTCGTCTGTCGTGGTGTTTGTTTGTTTGTTTGTTTGTTTTCTTTTTCTTTTTCTTTTTCTTTTTCCTTTCCTTTTTCTTTTTCTTTTTCTTTTGGGTGCCATGTTGTGTATAATGTGAGCCTTTTGACATTTGCAGGTACAAGTTTACATTGTTTAACGAGCTCTACTTTTTGGTAGCTGGTGGAACAGTTTGGATTGGTACTCATTTACAGTCTTGACATATTTCAATAATAAAACACCTGTCACTGGAAATTTAGTGGCATTGGCACCAGATGCGGACTTTTATAATTTTTGTTTCTCATTTTGTCTTGATGCTATGATATCATCTTACCTTGTACTGTAAAGGTAAGCAGCAACATTGATTATAATGCTCTAATATTGGACAGATTCTTCGTCATCGGCTACAAACACGAGAAATAATCAGCAGCAATTAACAGAAGTTGATAGAGGAGACATAAAGACTACTAATTCTGAAGGAACCTGCAGACTAAATACAGATAACAAGCATGCTGCAGCTGATAGGTGTTATAGTACTGCAGCTAATTTTGGTTTGGAAGGGGATAGTAAAGAACTATATACATGCAACAATGAAGATGAAGATGTTGGAAGGTTCCTCTACTTGGAAGGCGTGGAATATATCATGTGGTGCACATATGATGTGCACTTCTATGCATCATTTGCACTTCTTGAGTTGTTTCCCAAAATTGAACTTAGTATTCAAAGGGACTTTGCAAAAGCTATCTTATCTGAAGATGGAAGAAAAGTAAAGTTCCTGGCAGAGGGAAATTGGGGGATTCGTAAGGTTAGAGGTGCTGTCCCTCATGATCTGGGAACACACGATCCATGGACTGAAATGAATGGATATAATATTCATGATACAAGTAAATGGAAGGATCTGAACCCAAAGTTTGTTCTTCAAGCGTATAGAGACTTTGCTGCAACCGGGGATATATCTTTTGGAGTTGATGTATGGCCTTCTGTTCGCGCTGCAATGGAATACATGGAACAATTTGACAGGGACAATGATGGTCTAATTGAGAATGATGGTTTTCCAGATCAAACATATGATACTTGGACTGTTCATGGTGTGAGTGCTTACTGCGGCTGCTTGTGGCTCGCTGCACTTCAGGCTGCAGCTGCAATGGCCCTTCAACTGGGTGACAATGATTTTGCTGAATGGTGCAAGACCAAATTTTTGAAGGCCAAACCAGTATTTGAAGAAAAGTTGTGGAATGGTTCTTATTTTAACTATGACAGCGGGTCGAGTAGTAACAGTAAGTCTATACAAGCAGATCAACTAGCTGGGCAGTGGTATACAGCATCCTCAGGTTTGCCTTCACTATTTGATGATTTGGAAATCAAAAGTTCTCTCCAGAAGATTTATGATTTCAACGTAATGAAAGTCAGAGGAGGCAGAATGGGTGCTGTAAATGGTATGCATCCCAATGGAAGGGTTGATGAGACGTGTATGCAGTCGCGTGAAATATGGGCTGGTGTCACCTACGGTGTGGCAGCTACAATGATCCTTTCAGGAATGGAGGAACAAGCATTCACTGCAGCTGAAGGAATTTTTGTTGCAGGTTGGTCAGAAGAGGGTTATGGGTAAGTACTAAGTACCATATGTACTTTAGTTATTTGTAGTTCTTTCCCGTGGTTAAGCTTAAGCTTACTTAATCCTCTCGTTTTTATATTATGGTGTGCTTATACATTAAAAATGGAGATACATACATTTAGGAATGGTGCTAACTGGCTTCATTTTAAAATGGAAAAGAAAAACACGCTGCCAATATGCAAACTGAAAAATTGTACTACAAATCTGTTTTATTATTGATAATTAGCTTGATAGTACAATCAAGTAAACAATGGAAGGGCTTGCCAAGATTTTAGGCTGAAAGATTCATTAGAATAGATGGGAAAGGAGTCATTTGATTGCCGGGGCTTGGATGTTGAGAATTGAGAGATGCAAGTGGTGCAAACACACGAGGTGAAGATAAAAAAAGTTGACAGGATGCTGAAGGTCGGAACTATACGAGGGGCTGAGGGGCAGGAGCGTTAAAGGCGTTGCAGGTCTTTATATTTCAGTGTTCAGCATGTATAGAAAACTATGCTGCTCAGAAATGAATAAACCTTTTATTAAAAGTGATCACTCTTTGTATAAAATTAATCTAAGCGACTCTAAAGCTAAGCTGACACCAGTTTGGCATGGATTAGCTGTGCTAGTTGGTTTATTTTGTCTTCTTGGTCTCTGCGGACAGTTCACAGCTTTGGACAAAGGACTTAGGATTTTTATAGGATTTTCCTTGATCAATTATGCTATTCCTTTGAATTTGCAGTTCAAAATGTATTGTGTCTCCGTACTTGTTTTAAGCGTGTCAGGTGAGAGCAAGCTTTTCATTTGAATATTTTAGAAATTATTCAACACCTTTTCAACCACAGCAAACCATGCTTTTCTTGGTTAGGTGTCACATTTTGTTACCAAATACTGATTTGTACGGTAAGAGCTGTTGTTGCCAAAAGTCTTGAGCTTTCAGCTTACCCAAATTTGTAGGCCTTTATATGTTAATTGACTTCTCAGACTTTTATTGTGCATGGATTCTCCACTTGATTCAGATGTGTTCATCAGCCGACTTAAAATTTCTGTTTCTTGATACTACAGGTACTGGTTCCAGACTCCGGAGGGATGGACCATCGACGGGCACTTCCGCTCGCTTATCTATATGAGGCCTCTTGCAATATGGGGAATGCAATGGGCGTTATCCATGCCCAAGGCAATCCTTGAGGCCCCTAAGATAAATGTAATGGACAGAATCCAGTTATCTCCTGCTAGTTTAAGAACACCTCACCCTCGCGATGAATTGGGTGTTAAAAAGATTGCAACAAAAGCAAAGTGCTTAGGGCATTCTGTCTTCCATTGTTCCTGTTGATTGTATGTTGTAAGTTTATAATGATCTTGTAAAGACATGTTTTATGCCTTTCTTCGATTTCCTCGAACCTTCTTGCAGTGGTAGCAAAAAACTGGAGGAGTTTCTGAGGAAGTCGTCTAGAAAGTGGGCAATAAAAGACGGGGTGGCAACTGGGTAGCTAATTCACTTGCATGATGTTGTAGATTAGTCTGTTATTTCAAATTTTTTGTGCAACTATTCTTTAAAAGTATCCATAAAACTGATATTTAAGTGCTTCTATCTGAGAACCATGATCTGTGTACTATAAGATGCTAAAGAAGATTATCTAAGCCTCATAAGGAATAATATTATGTCTAAGATAAAGTAAAAGTATTTAATTGTCATGATTTTTAATTCACGTGATAAGATGTTTTAATTTATGTAGTATTTTAATTGACATGTTATAATGTTATTAGAGGGATATGAACGAAGACAGGGACATGAAAGAGCCTCCACCTCTTGGCAGTAGAAAAACTGTCGTTCATGGTCGCCGGAAAACCGGAATCAATAGAGAACCACTATTCTTATCTCATGCTTCAAAATGGCTAGATTGAGTGTTTTGATCTTGTTTATTGTGTTAAGATCAATTAATTTTTAGCAAATGGTATGAGAGCTCTTTATAGACTTGAGAGGGATGCGTGTTTTTAAAACACTTAATTGGTAAGCCTTTAGTGGATCTATTAACATATTTGTATGCGTGTTTTTTTAATAACAATAATTATAGAACTAAGGGAATATAAGGAGTGGATTCCTCGATAGAGGTTTCAGCAAAAGGAAAATGGGAAAATAGAATCCAAATGGGTCCCAAGGCCTAGTGTAGAATATATTTGTTATGATTGACCTTACCTGACTCATTTCCATCACTAATTTGGCATTTTAATTTCTAAGAACTTCAAAATCCAAAGGTGGACACCATCATCTCTCAGCTTACCTTTATTTACTCCTTATCATTTTTAATTGAAAGCATTTAAGATGTGTGGTCCTCGCAACAACTTCTAGTTTGTGCCTTGGTTGTCTTCTTAAAGTAATAATGGGTAGATAGTGGACATCTTTTCTTCTTCGTGTATTGTACATTGTACACTCTCACTGTTTTATGGTCCAAAACTTACAAGAATTGAGAATAACGATATATATCTTCACTCGCACCAATTGATGTATCGAATTTTGATCATGTAATTGACGAGACACCTTTTATAAAGAGAAATAGTAGAAAATAGGTCAATATGAAAAGCTTAAAAAAGTATATAGGTCAATTTTTAGTTATAGAAATTAATAAGTCATAACTTGTCAAGTTATAGTTCATAACCAGATAAGTTATGGACAAACTTGTCAAGTTATGGTTCATAACCAGATAAGTTATAGGCAAAACAGTGAATAACTTGTCAAGTTATGGTTCATAACCAGACAAGTTATGGACGAAAACAGTAATTTAGCCTATTTATTAACTTATGTAAACTATTTGTCTATTAATTTTAATTCATCTCAAGTCTTGGCCTATTTCCCTCTTTCTCCCTTTTATATATAAATTTAATAGTTATGGTTTCAATGGTTATCTAAATGTTTATTTATCGGTGGATATTATTATTTTAATTGTGTGATATTGATCAGAATGTTATAATAAAATAGATAGTTGACTTAAAAAAATATAATAGTTAATGAGATTAGATTCTTATCACATTATATCATCAATATCTATATTTAGTTTGTAAATACAGATAAAAACGAAAATTATTAAAAGCTTATTCTTTTGTTTTTTGTAAGGGACTCGTCCAAATTTAATATATTAGAGTAAAGTAAATACAAATCATATGAAGAAAGAAAGTTGGTAGCATGAGCCCTAATTAAGTTTCCCGTTTGGATAAAAAGCTTTTTTTAGCTGTGTTGGGAAAATTTGTCTAAATCTAAGCAAATAATAGAGAACGAAAAAGAACGAATGAAAAACAAAAACACAAAATCACACCAAAAATTTTATACAAGTTCACCAATTTAACTTACGTCATGTTTCTGCCACCGCAAATTTTACTAACTGATAAAAAAACTCATTATAGAAAAAAAAACACTCAATTTCACTTTATATTTTTTCACGTCAAAAGATGTTTTTTAGCCTCACACTCTAATTTCCTCTCAGAAGATTTGTAATAAATAAATCTCTTAATATTAGATATTTATAAAGTACAAAAAAAGGTCCAAAAAAACCCTTAAAAAACCATCAAAACCACCGCTGATTTGACCTGGCTGTGCCCACCAATTTCTTCCTCTCTTTCCTTGCTATTCCTTGCTTCCAAGCCTGATTAGGCCCCACAATCTTCAACAAGCTGAATGACAAAAGTGAACTCATGTAGGCGAACATTATTATTTGGTAAGTGATTAACGCCCAAAAGTAATGTTTATAAGTGATCAATTGTAGCACAGAAGGGTGATCGTATTCACAGAGAGATAACAAAATAAACAAGAAAAATTAGCAAAATAAGAGCATTAGAGAAAAATAAATAACAAGAAAATTAATAAAAAAGAAGAGTTTTTAAGATTCTGTTGCAAATAAAAAGGATAGAAGATTTGTGTGAAAGAAATTCAGTAGTAAAAACGGTAAGGTGTTGAGAATCTTTAATGTTTCGTTCACCAATTCAAGTTTTGATTCACAAAATAAAAGGATCGAATAAATTAAATCTCTATGTTGACTCCGAAAATATTATCATTACAAGTTATCCAAAATCGACAATATATCAATTTGACAATATTGCAGTAAAAGACAATTTGTAAAATAGTTTGAATAATAAAACAATGCGTGACAGAATTACATAAGAAAAGCGTGACTAAACTTATATAAAAATTAGCACACAATATTTTGAAAAGTAAAAGAAAGATAGATGAGATTTAATTCATTCAGATATTAAACTTTACAGCACAAGAAATCAAAGGTCCGAATTGGGTCACTAACAAAAGTTCATCTCTAACCTCACCAAGAGAACTCTAGCCTAGCTTGCAAAACATTCTCACAAGTTCTAGAGAGAAAATATGAGACTGACAGCAAGACGACAGAAAATTGAATATTTAAAACTTTACAAAAACCTTAGGCTAACCCCTCTATTTATAGTGTTCAGATGTTACCTGTCAAATAAGGAAACAAATAATAAAAATAGGAAATTACAAATGAAAAGGAAATAAAATAAAATTACACATAAATTAAGAGAAATCATATATATGATTTGGGAAAGAAATCTGGTAATTTACTCTGATTTTTGGGGAAGAAATTCGGATTCAGCACCAAGGGGACACGTGTCGAAGCTTGGTTGGATGAAGGGAATAGAGTTGCCACGTGTTGTGTGCGGAGTGGAGCTGGCGTTGGTCAGAGCAGAGGACAAGGTTGACAGTTGGCGCGCATTCACTGGGAAGACGGGCTGGCATCGCAGGTGTGGGACCCACGTGGAGGAAAGCTTTGGACGCGCGCTGATGGCTGCGTGGAAGGAACGCACACATTGCGAGATGGGCGTGCTGGTAACGCGCAAGGCGCGAGACGACGCGAAAGGAAGGCACGGGCTGAATGGTGGGGTCCACTCGTCTTGGCTCGGCTTGGCAGCTTAGTTGGCTAACACAGCTCTTCTCTCTTTTTGGCTTGTGAGACTCGGCTTAGTGGCTTAAATTAGTTGAAATTTATATCTTTTTGTGTAGCTCTTCACACTGCTTTTCATTTATAAATAATTAAGTAAAAATTAGACAAATTCTAATTAAAAATATTATGAATAAAAATAATAGAATTGTTTAATTAAAATTTAAATATTTTAATATTCAAAAATAATATTTGGGGTCATGCACTTATCAGTAAGCATGCTAAGTCCCAACTCGCATTGCAGTTTGTGTTATTTGCGTTTGCCACACAAAAGCCGTCGTTTTTAGTCTACAATAAAATTTCGTATTTCAAATAAAATACCTAATAGGATCACTATTTGTGAGATACGTTTTTAGTTAGGGCTTAAAAAAAAAAACCCTGTAAACGTTGCCACAACTTACAACTTGTTTTCAACTTTCCAAAATGCAAACGTTTATTACTTTTTTTTTTTTTTGGGTAATAAATGTGTTTAACATAGCCACGCAAAAGCTGTCGTCTATGCTAGTGTTCAATTCAGATTTTGCAAATGAAGATCGCATGGCCGTTTGGTAACATTTTTAAAATGATATTTTTAGTACAAAAATAAAATTAAGATTGTTTTAAAAATTATTCTAAGATTAATTTAAAATTATGTTTAGTTAATTTTATAAGAGATTGTTTTAAGTATAATAAAAAAATGAAATCGTATTTAATTATAATTATTAATTAATATATTATAATATTATTAATAAATACTATAAAATAAAAATAAAAAAGAAAAAATAATTTTTAACTATTTTCTAATTTTTTCATAAAAATAAATTTTATTGATTTTTATTTTTAAAATATTTATTAAACAAACACAATTTACAAACTATTTTCATTTTTATATCTTAAAAAATATATAAAAACGTTTTTAAAAATAATCTAAAATTAATTCTAAGTGCAATCCATATTTCCATTTTTTTTGTTGTCAAAATGTGACAACAAAAATGGAAATTTCAAAATTTCAAGATACGTGTTTGAAGATGCAAATGGGCGATGTTTTCAGTACGGAAGAACTCATATTTGACTTTTCTTCTTTTAGCTGCTTTTACTTGCCGTATGCAATTTGTCGTTTGTACACCTTTGTTCTTTGTTTGTTTATTCTTCTTTGTGCATTCAAATAACTAAGGCTTATTCATTTGTATTTAAACTTAAAAAAATTTTAAACTCAAATTATAATTTTATTTAAATTTATATTCTTGTAAAATTTAAATTTAAACTTAAATTTGAAGTTTAAATTTGAGTTTAAATTTTTTCTTCAACTCAAGTTTATAAACTCAAATTTAAGTTAATAAATAATATTTATTATTAAAAACATCACATAACTTTTTTATTTTAATTCTGATTGAGATGATTTTTTTCTATGCGTTCACAATGAAAAGATGAATAAAACCATATCCATATATCATATTAAAATTTTTCATCACTATTGAGTTTTTATTAAAATATTATTTAAATATAAATTCAAGTTTTGACCCACTTAAATACAAATTAAAATAGATTTTCAATTCAAACCATAACTCAAAATGTGCACATCTAAACACAAACTCAAATTAAAATCTCAACTCAAACCATACTCAAGTCACCCTAATTTAAAAAATACAAATAAATAAACCCTTAATCATATCTCAAAAATCTTACTTATGAAATTATAACATGTAGTAGCCAATTTATTTTATTTTGTGACTTCGCTTGATGCCAAAATTCAGCCAAAGAAAACAAAGAAAAACAGAAAAAAGACTGGAATTTACGTCCAACTAATTATTGTCTGAATCTTTTAGTTCTAATAATTTCGAATCATAATTAGTTTATGGGTTTAGAATTATGATTTAAAATTATTTTTAATTTATGTGTATTTTTATGAAAAAAATATTATAACGAGTCACAAATTATAATGTGAACCGAATTTTTATTCTAAAAGCAGGTAAACATCGTGATTAACGAATCAACGGCACATTATCTTCCTTAAATGTTTTATTTTACTAACTAATCACATCACCCATACGTGATTAACGAATCAACGGCACATTATCTTCCTTAAATGTTTTATTTTACTAACTAATCACATCACCCATACGTGATTAACGAATCAACGGCACATTATCTTCCTTAAATGTTTTATTTTACTAACTAATCACATCACCCATACGTGATTATTATACGTTATACAGCTAGAAAAACGTTTCATTAATAGAAAGACTAAAATGAGAAAACTTCAGTCCTTCTGGGGTAATTTTGTGTAAAAGACTGCTATCGCCGTCCACCACCCCAGCGACGGTTTCCCTGTCTATTGTCGCGTCCTCGCCGGAAAGCCGGTTAGCCCACACTCATCTCCGATCCTGCAACGTTGCCATTCTCCACCCCGCGAAGCTTCCGTTCATCTAACACTATGATTGCCCTTTGAAGCCCAGATCTGGTTTAAACTTGGAAGACAAGAGCGAGAGAGAGAGAGAGAGAAGGGAGATCTGATTTGGTGGAGGAAATAGCTTGAGAAATATCAGTTATGGTGGCTGGCTTGGCAATGTCGTGTTCTTTTTTTTTTCCCCCAAATTAATTAAGAGTATTATTTATTTTTGTAATGTTATGTTTTTATCAATATTTTTTTCACAATATTTAGAAAAAAAATATCAGAGAGTGAAATGACAATTACCTTTTTTTATTAATATTTTCACAATATTTAGACAAAAAAAAAAGTAAAGTGATTGAAATGATAATTACCTAATTTAATAAGTGATAAGATAAATGATTAGGTTCAAAATATTTAGAATTGTTAATATTATAATAAAATTATATTACATTATTGTGCACAATTAAATACTTTAAAGTCATATTTTTAAGAATCTATTAAAAGATTTTTATACGTGACTAAAAGTAATAATACAAGTTTTTGAGAATCATATTATTTTTTATTATTTTTTTGATAATATGATTCTTATTGATTACTAATACCAAACACTTTAAAAAATAATTTTGTGTTAGTCTGAGCGAGTAAAATGAGAAAACTTCTGTCCTGGGATGTGTTTAATAGGAAGGATGTATTGGCGGAGGGATAAGGTTGGAGGGATTGAGGGGTGGAAAGTGAAATTTATTTGGTAGAGTGGAGGAGAGGAAAAATGAAGGGGTTGTGAATAGGGCCCGCAAATGACGAATTGGGAAGGGTTGAAGACAAAAATGATGACGGCCTTATTCACTTTGCTGATTTGAGTTTAGAATTCGAGTTGAGATGTGATTTTATGTGAGAGTTTTTTACTGTAGTAAAAAAGTTAAATGTGATTGTTTGTGAGAGTTTTTTACTGTAGAAAAACTCGAATTTTAAACTCAAATCAGTGAAGTGAATGGAGCCGTTATTACCAAATTAACATTTGTCAATCTTAAAAATGAAGGGTAAATATGCAACTTTATCAATAAAATTAATCATTCTATCCTTATTTCCTTATAATACCAAACAATAGAATGAAAAGTCACTTTCTTTCCTTTTTATGATACTAAACAATTTTGAGAAGACTCTTAGGCTTCATTCATTTAAAATCTCTAAAAAAATGTCACATTTAATTTTTTCTGTTATAGTTAAAGGCTCTTAAAAAATCTCACATTTTAACTCGAATTAAAATTTTAAACCCACAAAGCGAACGAGATCTAATCATTCCCTCTCTTCCCACTCTACTTTCTCTCATATTCTATTTATCATTCTATCAATCCATCCCTCCTACCAAACGGACCCTAATTCTGCACGAGCCATATTGTGGAACGCACCGTTTTGCGTTAATTGAACCGGTCGCGGCCTGATTCACTGAACCTCGGCCGGCCCCCTCTCTCTCTCTCTTTCTCCCTCCAAAAAGCAAAAACCGTGGACAGTAATTTTTTAATTCATACATATTTTAGAATTCAATTCATACATCACTTGTTATCAGCGTCTTTTGATCCACTTCCCATCCCTATCATTTCCTCTGCAAACCCTATCACTTGTTATCATTTCCTTCTTTCTTCTCATCGGTAAGCTCTCGGATCATTTCTGTTTGTTTACCTGGAAAATGCCCCGGAAAAACATCACTCGATTCGAATATGCCGCATCTCACTTATATCATCAAAGTTTCACTCGTGAAAGATTTCCTCTTTTTTTTTTTTTTTGTTGGTTATTGTATGGAAACAGAAAATCAAACGGGAGTGAATTGATGATACAGGGAACTTAAATTTGATTTTTTCGTACGTAATTGTTTGGCTTCTAGGAAAACTGTGGGAAAGTTCCGATAATATTGTTTATTTTGTGATTGATGTCATATACCATTTTTGCTGAAATTGAGCCAAAAAGGTGTTTTATTGAGAAGTTAAACTGCGTTGCGATTTGATTACTGTTTCTTAGCAGAGTATAATGTTTTGATTGTTGGTTCAGATTCAGTTCGATTTAGTCCATAATAATAGATGGCGAGGAAGATGCTTATCGATGGAGAAATTACTCAAACTAATGAAGAGGAGGCTCACTATGACTTCGACTTGTTCGTTATTGGCGCTGGAAGTGGCGGTGTTCGTGCCTCTAGATTTTCAGCTAATTATGGAGCTAAGGTGTATTATACATAAACGCAGAATTTATTACAACCAATAATATTATCATCATGTGTTTATGGGTTTTATTTCTAATTTTCGTTGTAATTTGTCTTTGAGCTCTGTTTTATTTCGATTATTTGAGATTCGGAAAGTTGATTTGATGCTTTGAGGGACTTTTTAGTATTCTTAGGTTGGTTTCTTGTTATATTTCTTGATGTTTGCTTGATCCCCTTTATGATCATTGTTGTAGCTTGTACATTTAATTTCTTTTACTTTCTGGAAGTGCATTTGGTTGTTAGGTTATTAACAAGTGAGTTTTGGAATAATGTTGCAAGGTTGGGATATGTGAGCTTCCGTTTCATCCGATCAGCTCGGAAGTAATTGGAGGAGTTGGTGGAACGTGAGTTCAGCCAAGCTTTAGTTTTGGTTTTTACTTTAATCTAAATATTTTGCTAAGGGCAGGCTCATGAGTCATCAGTCATGGCATCCATATCAGTTAATGACTTTTGGCTTTGCAGATGTGTTATTCGTGGTTGTGTTCCGAAAAAGATTTTGGTGTATGGAGCATCTCTTGGAGGTGAAATTGAGGTGATATATTATTTCTATTGTGATTTACTGTATATAATTTTTAGTGTTCATGTAAAAGTTGAGATTGTAAATTCTTTGGTCTACTTTTTCTCCTTCCTATTGGCCAAGATGTGAATGAAGAAAAGGTTTTGAGAAAAAAAAAAAAAAAAAAACAAATTATTTCAATAAGATTTCTATATTAGAATTTAGTATATTTTTTGGGTTTAAGTGTGGACTAGTTGATTTCTAGATAGGCATGCTAACCGCAGGATATAAATAACACACACACACACACACACACACACACACACATATATATATATATATTTGTTTTACTGATCTAATGGATGTTTGGTTTTGGATTCGTAGGATGCCAGGAGTTATGGATGGGAGGTGAATGAGAAAGTTGACTTCAACTGGCAGAAACTTTTGCATAAGAAGGTTGATGAATTCAGAATTTTCTATTTTATTTTCAAGATTGTACAGTCATTTGTATTCTCACCGTGTATCGAATATCGGTGTTGCCTTCAACTAGAATTTCATGATCAAGACGAGAATATATATATATATATATTATATTTTAAATGGGAAGTTAATACTTGTTGCATGAGGCCTTAGCACGAAACTGGCATGCTGTCTGTCTTCATTTTTTTTTTTATATTTAAGATTTAAGATAAAAGGTATTGAGGATCTTTAAATTGTTTTGGAACATAAAGAATGCAATATAGCTTGAAGCTTTCCCTGAAGTGTATTTGTAGGAAAAGTAATAGATTTTGTCTTTCATGACAGGCTTTCCTTGTACCACTGAAGTAAACCAATGTTGCTTTTTCAATAAGTATACTGTTGTAATAGTTTCATACAAAACAATATAATAGGAGGTGATAGTTATACTTTATTTATTTATCGTCTTTCACATTACTACAGACAGACGAAATACTTCGATTGAATGGAATATACAAGCGCTTGTTGACAAATGCTGGAGTTAAATTATTTGAAGGAGAGGGAAAGCTAGTTGGTCCTAATGAAGTTGAGGTTACCCAGCTGGATGGCACAAAATTGAGTTACTCGGCGAAGCATATCTTGATTGCAACTGGCAGTAGGGCTCAACGCCCTGCAATTCCTGGCCAGGTAGATATTCTGCATGTTGGAAAATGAAGCAATTTAATTATCATTGTTGTTCACAGTCACTGTTTATAAGATATTGATAATTCTAATATTCCTTTCTTGTCTTTTACGTAACGTTTTTAGTTTATATTGTTTATCATTCTTTATTTCTTTTGTTAGGAATTTGCTATAACTTCTGATGAGGCGCTGAGTTTAGAGGAATTCCCTAAGCATGCTGTGGTGCTTGGAGGAGGGTGTGCTCCTATCTCTTCGTCTGTTTTGAGTAATAGTTTTCAGCTGCTGAGTGTGCTCTTGATTTCACATATTTTCTCTTCTACTTAGGTACATTGCTGTTGAATTTGCTTCAATATGGCGCGGGATGGGTGCTACTGTGGAACTATTGTTTAGAAAAGAACTCCCCCTGAGGTATACATGTTTGGCTTTCATTATTTCGTTCTAGGATAGCTTGGCTGTTGATATTTAAGAGAGAGCTTCAAGATGGTAACTTTTTTCCATATTCCACGCACATTTGTTCGAGGCATTTTATGGCCTCCTATGGGAGGTTTAAGTTTTAGCATGTTAAATGCAACATACAGATATTTTGATGGGACTGCAAAAATAAAACCTCAGTTTTATTAAACTACTATTATTTTGAATGATCTCAAAAGACTTGGCTAGACTTAAAAAATCTGAAACCTCCTTGCTTGTTTCAAGGTTTCACCTCTTTTGAACTACTGGTTATTATGATTCTTGCTGTCTAACCAATGAGAAAAGTTGAGAGAAAGGGAAGGGACTATAACTTTTTAAAGTAATGATGCAGCCTTTTGGTTTTGAACGATTGTGCATGTTCAAGATCTTATTTCACTGGCAAGTGATAACATGAGTTATAGCTTTTATAGCTTATTATGGTTCACAAGTTTTAGCTAGATTTCTGTTTCCTATTGCTAGTAGTTCCAAGTGTAGTGTGTATATCACTCACCATTGGACGTTAAGAAGACACATGTTCTTTTCAATTTAAATCATTTTCTACTTTGGCATGACCTGATATTCCTGATGTCTGTTATTCTACTGCAGAGGTTTTGATGATGAAATGAGGGCAGTGGTAGCAAGAAATATGGAGGGCAGGGGAGTTAACTTACACCCAAGGACCACCATAACAGAGGTACTTTTTTGGTTTCCTATGAAATTGTTTACAATTGCCTTCAGAGTGTGTGTGTGTGTGTGTTGTTGTTGTTCTTCTTCTTCTTTTTATTATTATTATTAGGGGAGTTAACTTACACCCAAGGACCACCATAACTTAGGGTACTTTTTGGTTTCCTATGAAATTGTTTACAATTGCCTTCAATGTGTGTGTGTGTGTTCTTCTTCTTCTTCTTCTTCTTCTTCTTATCATCATCATTTGTGCTTATTCTTATGTGATCAATGTTTGTTTGTCACTTAACAATTTCCTCTCCATAGGTGATAAAAACAGAGGATGGTGTAAAAGTTACTACTGATCATGGTGAAGAAATAACAGCGGATGTTGTATTGTTTGCCACCGGTAAAATTATGTCTAGTTACCCATGCACAATCTTTATATGAAGTTGGATTATCTAGTAACTTTTGAACAAGATTTTTATATTTTGATCTTGCTTCTGTAACTGTATTATTTCGGGCTACAGGTCGAGCTCCCAACACAAAAAGGTTGAATTTGGAAGCTGTTGGTGTGGAACTTGATAAGACAGGAGCTGTAAAGGTGAATTGCGTTGTCTTTCTCATTATTGGTTGTTACAATTTTGTGTTCTGAAATTCATCTGTACTCTTGAATGGGATCAGGGTGTATAGGTTTTGGCACTCTCTTATAGCTTCTCTTCTAAGCAAAATCAACACCATTCTAACTCGGTAATGTTTTTTCTAGGTGGACGAGTACTCGCGCACCAATATACCTAACATATGGGCTGTTGGAGATGTTACAAATCGGATCAATCTCACTCCTGTGGCCTTAATGGAAGGAACATATTTTGCCGTATGTATTTCCTTTGTACCTAGTATTTTTAATTTTCTGGATTAAGAGTGCATTTTGTTTCTTTTTAAATGTTGTTTTTATCAACATGCATGTTATTGGACGTGTTTACAGAAAACTGTTTTCGGTGGGCAACCCAGCAAACCAGATTACAGAGATGTACCCTGTGCAGTATTTGCGTAAGCATTATTTTTTAACAGAAGCTCTTATTTATTTGCTTAATTATGAATGGTATAAGTCACATCAATCACGAGGGTAGCACTCATCTGAGGACCTTGATACTTCGGGGGTCATGGGGCACAACAAATGTGACCTTGGTACACAACAAGTATTGGCTTTTTCTTTAAGATGCACAAAATCATTCAGACTGGATGGAATGAAACAGTGGTCTGTGTTACCTGTCACCTTTTTCTCTCCATTCACGACAGAAATCTCACAGTGACACACATCTCTTAACATCACTTTTTGATTCCCATGTTTGTGAATAGCCGATCAATATACCAAAAATTCTTTTTTTCTTCGATTTGACTTTTTTTGTGAATGATTGTGTGTTTTGCTCGTTTGCAGCATACCACCTCTTTCTGTTGTGGGCCTGAGTGAAGAACAGGCAATAGAGCAAGCTAATGGTGATATTTCAGTCTTCACGTCAACCTTCAATCCTTTGAAGAACACTATCTCTGGGTAATTTTGCAAATCTGATATCTTACTCCAACAAATAAGTTCACAACGTAACATGGCTAACCTTATTCTTCATGGTTGAAAATCTATAGAAAATTGTAATTACCAGAATAAAGCCTTTTTATGTTGAATATACTCTTTCTCAGGAATTTTATGTATTCATAGGTGCTAGGTCAGCTCATGAGTGTTTCCTTTTAAATATTTTCTATGAGCCACCACAAAGCCTAATGTTTTTAGTCATGAAGAAAGAATTGTTGACACCAGCTGATAATTATCACCTTTACCTATTTTATGGTAATTTTCTCTTGTCTCAGGATCCTCTTGGATTCGATAAAGCACAGGTTCATAATGTGAAAACACAAATAAAATGGAAAAGACCAGGCAAAGGCATATTGCAAATTATAATAATTTAGTGCAGTTCATGACTTTTTGATAACAGTGAGATTTTTTTTGTTCTTTAAACAACCATTTGGAGTAATATTATCCTTTAGATCTTACCGAAACCGCTCGTGTTGGGTTAACATTTTAATGTTTTAAGCATTTATCAACTCTAAAGTTTTTCTTTCAATTCCCTCTCCCTAGACGTCAAGAAAAGTCAGTTATGAAGCTTGTCGTTGATGCTGAGACAGATAAAGTTCTTGGGGCATCCATGTGTGGGCCAGATGCGCCTGAAATTATGCAGGTATTTTGTTGCTCCAACTTCAGAGTCATCTTGATGTATCTCCTTAGATATGATAAACTAGTCATTGCATGATCTATTATTTCATGGGTTAAAGTTCGATAACTTAAAATCATCTTTATATTACCCTTGGAGGTGTCGTTCCTCTATACGGGATTAAAGAGGTCAGACACTAAATATCAAGAGTGCTATGTGCGGTGATAATTGCTTCGAACATGAACGTGGCAACTTTTTCTGTTGTTATCTCCGCCAAATGGAAGGTGACTTGCATCTTGAATTTCCAAGAGTTCTTGTGAGAATGGCAAAGCTTACAGCCATCTTTAAAGATTTCAATATAGTACTTGAAATTTATCTTCCAAGTGTCAGTCTGTCTTTGATGCTATGTATTACATGGTCGTGACTATGACTGAATAATGAGGGCTCTGTGTGCAACCCCCCCTCTTTTTTCATACATTGATCTGTCCAATTTATGTTGTGTCTTACTAAAACATTTACGATTCTATCGTAAAATTTTTAGTTCTTAATTCGATAGGCTTTGTAAGATCCAATGCCTGCTTTAGTTTTTTTCTATGGAGAATCAAGGACATAATTAAATCTGCGGCTAGATCTTTACTTTTTTTTTTATTTTGTTCTCTATAGATAAAATCTCTGATAATCATTTTGGCTGTATTCCACAGGGCATTGCTGTTGCACTGAAGTGTGGAGCAACCAAGGCACAGCTTGACAGCACGGTGAGCTTCATTTTTGTTTGGTTGAAGTGTTGAACATTGCAGAAAATTACGAATCTCACACCTTGAAAAATCCTCACTTTTTAACTTTAAAAATCTTCGCCTTCCTTCCATAACACGCACGTAATTTCCTGCATTTTGAAACATTTATTTGCTTAATCATCGCTGCTTAAAGAAGCTTCTGATTTTACAGGTCGGAATTCACCCTTCTGCTGCTGAGGAATTCGTGACCATGCGAACAGAGACGAGGCGTGTATCTGGCAGTGGCAAACCGAAAACAAATCTGTAAAATTTGAGATAAGACTGAAAAGAAAAGAGTGGTATAAGAAGTGAGAAGAAGGGGCGATCTCATCGTTTTAGCTTTGCCGTTTCACCTTTCACCGTAGCGAAGCATGCACCATCAGAGAAGCTAAATTGAGATTTGGTTGATTTTCTTTGCTATAAAAATTCTCTCACATATTACAGTTAAGGCAGTGCTTTGATGATATGCGGGCATATCGTTGTTTATCTTATCAAATTGTCTGGAATTTCAACTTTATATTTACATATAATAGTTGCAAAATTGTTTTCTGTTTTTCTGGGCTTGAGCCGTATATTTGGTTTTAGGATTTGCAATTTATTGAAACACTATCGAAGTAATAAATGGCCAAGTATAGACTAGTTAAATGTCATATTTTTTGAGGATTATCAATGCTTCGGCATCTATGTCAAGTACTTGTTTTTTTCTCTTTCTATTAAAAAATATGCTTTTTCACAAATTGTGTTTGAAAGCGTAAATAGGAGAATGATATTCTTTTTCCTGCCGTATTTAATAATAAATGGAAATATGAAATTGCAAGAATTTGCACACTGTAGCTTGACCAGAATTTTGATTAGCTTTCTAACCTACAGTTTAGGAATTCAAAATCAAATTTAAAACATAATAATTAGACAATTAGAAATAATTATATAAAATGCCTACTTTGAGAGCGTTGATTCTAAGAATGCCTACCTATATACAATGTTACAAAAAATGCCTACTTCTGAATAATAAGGCATATCTATTGACGGATATACCCTTGTTTTTTATTTGAGGCTTATTCCAGATATGATGTTTTTTTTTTTTTGTTTTTAATTTTATTGGTTGATTTTTTCAGATAATATTGTAATGTCCGGAAAATCGTAAATTTAACTTTTGAAAAAAAACACGAAATTCCGATAACGAATTTTCCCGGCGTATGTGCCTAAATGTTGTGCATTTTTGTGGTGCAATTAAGATTCTCATGTCAAGATGAGTTTACTGGTATAAAACGCTGAAAAACGACCTCAAGGGTAAAAACGTCAAATTTCCCAACGTTAGGGGTAAAACCGTAATTTCCGGAAAATTTGAACACAAACCACTACTAAGGGACACAGAGAGCAGTAAACGACATAGGGAGTCAAATATATAACCCTTTAGTTACCCGAAAAGCCGTTAAGGATAAAAAGGTCATTTTAACTAATAAAGGGTAAAACAGTCAAATAGACACCGAGCTATGAGTTTTAGGTCGAGGTTCTTGAAGCAGAGTGCTTAGGATAACAAATACCTTAGGTTCGTAACTTTGGAATCACAACTCACTGAGGGTAAAATGGTAATTTCTCCGGGAATAAAACGGTCCCTTAGGAACTGGAAAACCCGACACTAAACTTAGAACTTCCTAAAAGACCAGAGATGATCCTAACTTGACCCAACCATGTTAAGGAGTCCAAGTGGGCCCAAAAGCCCAAAGAAATAAGGGTAACCTTTAAGTTTACCTAAGTAAACTGACTAGGTGACCATATTGAGGTTTAGGCTCAATCGGTCCAAGCCCGAAACTAAAAATGCTTGAGTATAGGACAAGCTCAAAAGGATTTTAGATAGGATGACCGATGAGTGACCTTGGAGTATACCCTTAGGAAATAAACCTAGTTAGTTCCCAATCCTTGAGGGAATGAGTGAAACATAATTAGAAAAATTATCAATTAATAAACTTAGATTATTAATGATTTAACGGTAGAATGGGAGCGTTTGATAATCAAATCTATTTAGGTAATTAATGAAACTTATTAAAGTAAATAATAAAGTTAATTTATTAATTAATAAAGCTAGATTATTAATGATTTAACGGTAGAATGTGAGCTTTTGATGATCAAATCTGTTTAGGTAATTAACGAAACTATTAAAGTAAATAATAAAGTTAACTTATTGGTTAATTAATAAGAACTTAATTAACGCAACTTATTGAGAAAATTAATTAATTAATTAATCAAGTAAATTAATTAATTAAGGACAACGGACGAAAAATTATTTAGCAGAGGGTAATTAAACCCAAGTAGTTAATGGAACCTTAACGGGAATTAATCAATTAACCAAATAAAAACTTATTGGTTAATCCAAGTATAAAAGAGAAATTTAAGGAAGGATAGTTAACGTAGTTAATCCTAATAAAGGTTTATGAGACTAAGTTTCCAGGACCTAAGCATAATAAATTATATGATTCGGTAATTAACTAACTAAGCAATTTAAGACTTATTAGTTAATCCAAACATAAAAGAAAGGGGCTGAGTAACGGGAATTAAACTTGAAGGAGAACTTAAGAGACTAAGTCTCTGAAGGAAATAATCGGCGCTGTTAAATACAGAACGAACGACTTTACAAGATAAGGTCGTTTTAGGAAACATAAAGTACCAGTACTCAAGTGAGTACAAATCTTACCTACAACATAAATGGTTTTAAAATGTTTTATTGGAGAAATTTACTTGCATGATTGTACATCACTTATTCTCGGTGACATGTTTAATGATGTGTTTACTACATAATGCCTCTTGTTATTATCAAGTTTTGTAATATGATCATAATCGCATGTTCACTTAAATCAGAGACTATGGTAATGAAACTAAGTGAAGTGCCATACTAGATTTCGGGAGTCTAATGGAAAGGAAATTATCCTCGGACTCTAATGGGAGATCATAACTGATAAAAAATTAATTGATGACCTTGAGTGTAGTTGGATTAAATGTTTGGGTCGCTTCCCCACTCCTCATGGTCGCGCGCACTTGGTACGTGCACATGGCCCAATAATAAAAAATGAAGGATTCATAAATAAGCATGACTGGTCATGTATATTATTTGATGATGCCATGTTTGAAAATATATTTTATGAGGATATTTGTACTTAGTGAGCTTTAGTTCACTAGTTTATTCATGCTGTAGATAAAATGCGTATTGTTCATTGGTGGGCTTGACTGCGGACGACTTGTACGGTGGAGGATGGGGCATGGATCCCCTTGCAAATATTTATGCTTTAGATCAAAAGATGTTTCAATTGAAATGATGGTTGTTTAAATATGGTTATTAATTTTTTGCATGCAAACTAATTTAAGACATGCTTAATATAATTTCTTATTACGCATTAAGGATGTATGTTTACAATGTTCTACTTCAAATATCGTTATCCGGATTATAAATGCTTTCATGATACTTTAAAAGGAAAAAGGGTTTAATAGTTTTTACAAAATATATTTCCAAAAAAAAAAAATCCTTAAATTTTAGTAATTAAAGAAATAATTTTCAAAATGTAAATAAGATTTTCTGCATAAATTATGGTATAAGTCACGTTTAGTAACAATTCGGAAAGCCAGATCATTACAAATATATTGCCTATTGACTTTGCCTTTTAACCTCAATTAATATTTTGAAATAAGTTTTTTTATTTAATATTGATATTATCATTCAATTATCATATTTCCTTCTTTTTTTTCAATTTTTTGCTCCAAAAGAAACGTGAGAATGCTTTTTTGATAATATATTGCCTGCAGGCTCTGATAGCATATGTCCAGACATTGATGTTTGAAGCTACGGGCTTGTTCATTTTTATTCAAACTCAAAAAAAAAATTTTAATTTAAATTACAACTTTATTTAAATTCATATTCGTTTGTAAAAATTGAGTTTGAACTTGAATTTTAACTTAAATTTAAGGCTAAAATCTGAGTTCAAATTCTTCCGTCAACTCAAGTTCATAAACTCAAACTTAAGTTAATGAACAATATTTTTTTCTATTATTAAAAACGTCATAACTTTTTCGTTTTAATTCTGATTGACATGATTTTTTTTTTCTATGCATTCACAACGAAAAGGCGAATAAAACTCTACCTATATACCCTATTAAAATTTTTCATCACCATTAAATTTTTATTAAAATACTATTCAAATATAAATTTAAGTTTTGACTCACCTAAATACAAACTCAAATAGATTCTCAATTCAAACCATAACTCAAAATTTACACATCCAAACACAAACTCAAATTAAAGTCTTAACTCAAATCATATTCAAATACACCTTAACTCAAATTAAGATCTGAACTCAAATCATCATAAATCAAAAAATACAAATGAACAGGCCATTTAGGTTCTTACAATCGCGTTGTTAACCAGGATTTCATCATTCGGCATAGTCGTAGGGGCCGCCTCCTGATAATATGTCTACACATTGTTGTTTAGGTAACGCACAGTTTTACCATTTGTGATCTGCAGATTATTATTTTTTGCAGCTTTTGTTGAACAGGGATTTGCAAAATAATAGCATTTGTTGGTGAGTCTCTCCCTTTATCTCTCTTTTTCTCCCGCTTTTCCTTTTTTTTTTTTGTTGGGTTTCAATAACTTTTTTCTGAATTTATTTGTTTGTTTTATTTTTGGGTTTCAGTCCTTTGTTTGCATAGTTCTGGTTTATTTGTTTCAAATTTATTGTAATGATCATGTTTTATGTTTTATAATGATATTATCACTAACATAATGATTGCTTTCTTCTGAGAAGATTTTTGTGCATATTACGTACTATAGTTTTCATGATGACATCATCATTTAAATAATGAAAATTCTTAATAATGAGTATATTTTTAATGTTTCCTCTGTATTATAATTTTGAGTTCATTTGAATTTATAATTAATTTGTTTGATAATGATATCTCCAATGATATAATAAAAATGATTTTTGAGAGACTTACCGATTTGGTTTTCATACCGTGTGAATGACTTAATTTTTCATTTTATTTGCATGTTTTAGATTTATGAGTTTAATCTATTTGATTGGTTTGGCATTCATTTTGTTAATGAAAAACATTTTGACAGATTTCAGTGTTTCTATTGCGTTTTGATTTTTTTTTTGTTTTTAAATTTTCTTGCAATATTTACATCCACTCTTTTTCATAATAACACCATCATTAAAATATTGAAACAATCGTTATTATTGTTTCATAGCCGCGTTTATTATGTGCTTAGATGTTCGTTGTTATAAACAATCTCTAACAAGAACACAGTAATATATCCGTGCAATGAAAAAGAAATCATTGCTCAAAAACTACATTTTCATGTGATAAGGACCCATAGATTCAAAGCATACGGATCAACAGTTTGCGGAGAAATAAAAATCAAACAAGAAATTCAAAGTTAAAAATCATTGCAGAAAATATAACGAAGAAAAGGAAGGAAAATAATCAACACACGAAATTTATCTAGGTTCGGACCTCAATGTGAGATCCTACGTCTTGTAATATGATATTTTCGTTTATTATGATTAATTACAAGTTATTACAAGAATGATATAAGAGTACTTACTAAAAAAACCCCTCTCAATTCTCTCTCTCTCTCTCACTTGTCTTCTCCAATTCCATT